TAAATTTTCACACTTCTTATACAGTTCGTCACAGAAATAGAGTAGAATCCACGTTCGATAAATTCTACTCGATTTCTACCAATTTACTGTCACATTATGTCAGCAGGCTCAGTCGGCGAAACACGAGCTTAATGTGGATACAATCGATACCAATTTGCTAGCAATTTTTCATCAAATTTGTTACCAATTTGCTGACATATTGACGGACAAGTGGTTTACTGGAATTATGCGTCGTATATTCTCGTGATCTTTCATCTTATTAGCGTTAAACATTTAGATATTCAATTTTCCGTAAGTGTAACTGCTATACCTGATATTATGGACCACAATAAAGTTTTTATGTTCTTGTAAATGTCTCTTATCGTGATCTTAAACGCTAAGCTAAGAAAAAAATTTACAATGCTCGAATGAAAAAAATATATATGTATAATGTAACTATATATTGTTTTAATTTTAACATGATAAGTTAGTGATATATTAATTGTATTTATTTACACATTTCGCTGCTCCTTTACATTTTATTTACATCCGATAATCCTAAAACTCTGATATCGCTCAGAAATAAGAACAAAAAATCTGCAATGCACATGGAGGCTCCATGCATTTGAAATATTTAAAAGAATGCGAAATGGAAGTGGGTTTACTAATAACATATATAAATCAAGTACTTTTCTGATGAAAATTTTCTTGGAATTTTCCAGATAATTTTTCAGAATTTCTACATTAAAAAAATAAATTTCAAAATTTGTCACAATTTTTTATAACTTTTATAAAATTTCTTAGATTTTTTACATAAATTAGAACACTTCAGATTTTATAAAATTTATATACATGAAATACAAATCGAATATAAAATAAATTCTAAAGTCTTCTATTTTCTCATTCCATAATTTCCAAAGAAAACTTATTATAAAACTTGAGAAAATTTGAAGAATATTCTTATAATCTTCATAAATTTAAAATTAAAAAATTTTGTTAAAATATGAGATCATATTAAAATTTTTTTCACTAAAATTTTCTTTATGTTTTTTGTATATAGCAAGTATATATTTTTCTTTTACTCACGACTCATTAATCCTGGAAATGAACTTACCACGTATTGTAGTGTTGCGCAGTCGAGCTATATTTGAGGCTAAATTTTGATTATTCAACTCCACCATCATCCACGCGCAATGAAACATCTTGTTTACATTATAGCGCATGTCGTGGGTGAGATAATGCGCATAACGGCAATTCAGATTTCAGAACAATCAGCTAGCCAATCAAATTTTCCACCATGCACTCACAGTGACAGTTCATCGTCGGATTTAAGAAATATGATCTGAGGCGGATGTCATTCAATGTCATGCAGCGTACAGCTGAGATAGCTAAGCAGTTAATGTAATCCGCGTATTCGTGTGTCATAATTCAGGACACGTCGGCACCTCACAAGCAGTTGACGTCCCATGATGTGCATTATTGTCTTGTGAGACGGTTATCTTTGCGACTCTCCCGCCGGGACCAAGATGCCAGAACGAATCGAGATTGGTACGTGGAATCCCGGCTTTTGTGGTACTTTCCACTCGCGACGTACAAATCCGCACATTCACTTTATTTACACGATGCAACATAACCTATTCTCTAAAACTTTGGGAGTGAATGTCACTCTTTTTCGAAACTGGCTAAATTTTCATTCTTTAGAGTGAGATTCCACGCCTCAGAATTTTAGAAAGTAATAAAAGGATTATTTTTAAAAATATGAGCAAGCAATCCAGGCTGTGGCTGGAGTTGGCTGAGAAAGGAGGAGATAAAAAGATGGTGTATAATTTCATTTCGAGGATAAAGAAAAAAATTAAAATAATTAAATCATAGATATATCTAAATGTGATAGATAGCTAAATGACTTTCTTGAAATATTTTTGTTAAAAATAATATGTAAATATTTATAATTATTGAATTTTATATTTATATTTAATTATTAAATTTGATTGTTTATCTTTTAACACATTAATACATACATATAAAATATGTATAAAATAATATATTTTACATATATATAGTATTTGTTTTATCATACATTTTATTATATTGCATTTGATATATTTGCCAATTTCAGGTGTTATTCCAAGTAATTTGAGACACGAAGAAACTATAGTTCAAATAGCAGAAGCTCTAGACAATCTGGGCGATGCTGTCTCATATATATTTGATTGCATTGACAGCAGGCTTTCGGAGAACACACAAAGGTAGAATAAAAAAATTATCTCTTGATTTTTAATATAACTATTGTATTCGATTGCCTTGCTTAATTATATGTTTGTTTGATCCAATGATAACATTTACTAAAGAATAAATTTGTCTTTAGATTGACCAGCATTAAAGAGAGAGCTAGGAAATTGGAGGACAGATTGCACTATTTACAAACTAATTTAAATCTGAAAGCAGTAAAAATGTATTCTGCTGCTAAGTATCCGGCTAATTACACTTACAAGGAGTATCAAATGACTATACCGCAACAGCGCGAGCATACCGCTGCTATACCAAGCATTTACAAATGTTCCGTGCCTATAAAGGATATCCCCGAAGCATACTTATCTTCTAATTGCAAGACCGAGGACGGTCAATATGCCGCGAATGTCAACCTCCAAGAAAAGCTCCAATTTTATCACGTACGATCAAAGGCTGACAAAAAAGATAACCTTGAGAATGACGTAGAACCATTTCCACCACAATTATCCTCAGTTAGTGCCCTCCTACTGTTTGATAGCATGGATAGCCCGTACGAAAAAACGTCCATGCGATCATCACGTCAGTCTGTCAACAAGCAGCAAATTGAGGATGCTCCAGATTCAATTGTACAACCGTGGCTTTCGTCAGAAATGGATGCGTCTTCCAGCTATTTGTATACCCCGACTCTTGGAGAGGTCAGATTTTCATATAATACATTAACTCATTTAACAATATAATTTATGTCAATTTGAAAATATTTATACTTGTTTTTTGAATTTACGATTCTACGATTTATTCTTACCGAAGATTCTTGTGTATTTTTAGGTTCCTCAAATAAATGTACCGTTAACACTCCCAGATTTACCGGGCATTGTGGATGATGAGAAATTTGTGCTCGATCTTAACTCCCAAAGTCCTATCGCACCATCATCTGCAGTCACGACGCCCACTGTTCGTTTAGATCTACCAACGCCAATCAGTAACGAGAGAGATTCTCAGTCTAAAACCGAAGATAATGCTCCACACTTGCCTGTTTTAACTGCAGCTTCGACAACTGCATCATCACCTGCGCCGCCTCCTCCACCACCTCCTATGGTCACCATAAATGCAGATAGTGCTGTGAGCAACGAAAAAATCAGTTTTCAAGTTATGGTACCTCCGCCGCCACCACCACCGCCGCCACCGCCACCGATTGCAGAACCGATCGTACCTACGTCAAATGATGGTTCGGAGAAAAAGGACAAAACACCGAATCGTCCACCTATGACAACTACAACGGATGATCGTTCTAATTTGATGGCGGCGATACGAGACGCTGGTGGAATAGGCAGAGCGAAATTGAGGCCTACTGTACCGGACGAAAAGAAGCGTGATCGATGGTCTTCGGCTTCGGTAGGAGGTGATCTGATGGCGGATCTACATACAAAACTAGCGTTAAGACGCAAAGGTATCGCCGGCTCTACAGTAGGCGCTTTGGAGAGAATGTCGAGCTTAATACCGCCTCCTCCGAAACCGACTGAAGCGTCTGCGTCGGATAGAAATTCCGCCACCAGCGAATACGACTCTCAACCTGATACGGACGATTGGGAAGAGTGATCACTACTGTTGTGGTGAATTGATAGCGTGCTATTGAATTATGATAAATGACAACATCCGCGCATGAAGAGACTCAGGGGAATTTTTTATTGGATAAATTCAATGAAGTAGAGGAGGATAGAATCAGATATACAGATCTGGTTATATTTTTTTTTATTTAGATTTGAAAATTATTTGATTTTTAAAATTTTACTTTTATCCTGTAACTCTGCTAATCATATTTTTTCTATGAAAATCTAAAAATTTATATTTTGTGGGTATATAATTTTGATAATGCAATAGTTCGATCAAATAACATTATACGACTGTTTACGAGTGAATAAATTATAAAATTTTTGGAAGGAATGAGAAAAATTGTTATGAAAAAAATAACAGAATAGAAAATTTTATTTTGTACGTTAATACATTTTTCCAGTAATTATCTATAATTATTTACTTACATTTATGTCATTCGTTATTTATTTAATTTGTCATATATATATATATATATATATTTTGTGTACGATCTTCCTCAGAAAAGTCTTATACATAAAATATATTATAAAAGTAAAATTAGTCTATTAAAATCCTGATTGTACATTTCTTAATATACGATAAAGTGTACAATATACGAATGTAACTAATGTATATATGCTGTTACGTTAATAAAGTTTTATATTCAAATTGTATAATACATAATAAATTTGTAATATTAAAATTTGCACATACATTATTGAGGCTGTTGAGCAGTCTTTCAATACATCCTTAAAAATTATTAATATTATATTGATATGTTCGCAACATTGAATATATATTTGAAACGCTTTACAAATCGAGTACACAAATATACATGATGTTTATACCCTGACGTTATACTTTCATTTGTTTCTTACGTGCATACATGGCAAAATTGTCCTAATACTTTGCGTATATCATTATTTTGAGACATATATTCTCGATATATACATATATATAAAACTACTAGGGGCAAGAATAAATGTATATAATTTCAACACAAGTGTTGATGGTTATCTTCATTTATTTCGAAATGAAATAAATGAAGATAACCATCAACACTTGATTGTCTGCTTCTCCTATCTCTTCGCTTTTACATCAGTGTATGACGCTTATTAGCCTTATCTACATTTTTATGTTATTATATATTTTTATGTTATATATATATATATATATATATATATAAAATTTATTTTTGTCGCGGTAAAATTAATCGCTTTGCATCTATCTAGTAGGGGAGCAACAGATCTCTAAAATATTTTTCAAAAATTCTATAATTACTTCGATTTAAATTATAAATTTGGTGCGATCCAGTTCAAGAATTTCATGCAAATTTCGAAGCCCATAAAACAAGCCGCATTTGCAGGGAAAGCTCGTAGCATAACGGGTACGACACCCTTGTAAAGGGCCATTGGTCCCTCGTTTTTCATCAATTTAACAAATACCTCGCGTATTCCTTCTTTGTACGTACCTTCTGGTGCTGTATAATAATACGATAAGAAATATTACATTGCATATTTATATCCGTTAATTACAACTTTAATATGTTTTAATCAGAATTTGGAAAGATAGAAAAAAACTCTTAGAAGTATATACGTACCAGTCTGTAAGCGACTTTTCAGGATATCAGGTGGCATTCCCACCAACCAGTTCGCAATGCCTGCAAAACCGCCAGCCATTATAGTGGCCAGTAAGCTAAGTTTCCCACCTTCTGGAGTAAATCGTTCCTTTAGATATTCGTATGTTAAAAAATACATTCCGCTGGCTGGAATATCTGAAAAAAAGCATGGAGGCATAGTAAATTAGGAATCGCTTAAGTATCCTTGTGCGAACCAAAGATGGCATATAAACATTATGTAGAATTAATAATAGCGAGTAGATAGCGTGTGGGTTGACAGATAGAAGGCATCCTGTTTGATAGGAAGCACATCAAAGCATAGATAACCGTTAACAAAATCCAGTTTCCTTCGGGCCAGTGTGCTGCCGCTGGTCCCGAGTATCGTGCTCCGATTCAAAATCGTCATAAAGTGAAACAACATGACATTTGTTATCTTGCTTCTCATCATCTTGTCATTGGTACATACAAATTTTAACACCTTGTCGTGCGCTCCGTTAATAAATTCGACTTCGTTTTCTATGTAATTATTTTGTATACGTAACGCGTGTCGACACATTCAGGCCGATATTCATAATCAGTCCTTATATTTAAGACCGTCTTAAATACAGTTTTAAGATACCATTAGGCAATCACAGATCGGCATTTATAGTCAATTCTTATATTTAAGACTGTCTTAAGTACAGTCTTATAATGTTATGAACCAGAGAACCACATTAGTGCATCTTAAGATATTTAAGACAATCTCAAAATAAGAACCAATTATGAATCAATCTTAATATATTAAAATACATAAAATAACTACTCTATACTCAAACTAAATTCAACGCTAGAGATAGATCAAAAACCACAAGAAACCTATAAGTTTGAAATATTCTATCACAATATAAAATCATTGATTCGAATTGCGTTGTATTCAGGATCAGTGTATAGGACAAGTTATCGATATCGGTGATGTGTGGGAGATTAAATGCCCGCAGGGATGTACCTGTGAGATCCAAAAGTATTCCGACCTGTCTCTGCATCAATGGGCTGGCATAAACAAAGATAATAATCAGGTATAAGTAAATGACAATTAACGCTTCCATAGTATTCGCTTCCATAATTTTAATACATTCTCAATCAAACAGGATATACCTTCCGATGGTGTTGATCTTAATATAAACGACAATTCAATGGCTCATGAACTGATGAAAATCGCAACATGCGTGATTGTTGACAACCCTGAAGAACTTTTGACTAAACTTCCTTCAGATATACAGGTGACATAAAAAGCACATATAATTTCACAAATTTATATATCTCCCATATTAACTCATTTTGGCATTTTATCAGATTTTAACATTACTCGAATCGGGTAGCGGGGATGTCGATATTCTTCTGCAAGCTACTACATTCCAACGATTCACTGAATTGATATCGCTAGATATTCAAGGAATAGATTATAGCGATTTCTCCATAAAAGAGACGAATAATCGTACAGAAAAAGACGGCATTATTCTCGCATCTGACACAATGTATCCTCTAGGATCTACTTTACTATATCTAAATTTGGAACGAGTTAAATTGTCGAACTTAAATTTGCCAAATAAGGACAAGGCAAATCTGGTGATCAAGCCGATGAACTCGCAGGAAACGGAGACAGTCGACGAAAACCAGGTGTCTGTAAGCAATAGCAGCCAATACAAAGGTCACAGACTTATTTTTTTGAGTCAACAAAATAATGAAGATAAAGAAATACTGCCATATGACATTTATAAGCAAGAATTGGAAGGCTACAGAGAAAATGTTGAACTGTTTGCTGCGCTCGGTGCTTTAACACATCTAAGAATTTATGATTGTAACCTGAAAGATATATCTTGGCACATGTTCGACGGCCTCAATAGTCTTCTTTATCTCTCACTAGAAAAAAACGGTCTGAAATTCATTCCTGAATTTTGTTTTTACGGCACACCAAATTTAAGATCGCTCTCACTGGCAAGTAACGAATTACTGACATTGAAAAGCGTAGACCTGGCGGGATTGCTTCTATTAGAACATCTAGATTTAAGACAAAATAATTTAACGTTCCTGTCAGAGTTATCGTTTCCACCTTTCCCTGCACTCGTGAGCGCTGATTTTACGAACAATCCTCTGGATTCCATTTTTCCAAGGTAATAAATAATACTATACGTAATTTGTTTCCATGATTAAATCTGAGAAAAAATTATCATATGTTCATTTCAGTACTTTTGAGATCATGAATACGACAATAAAATTGTATCTCGGAGGTATGGCATCTAAACTGAAACTGCAAAAGAATTCGTTATTGGGTCTACGTCGAGCTGAGATATTACATTTGTACAATCTAGAGATACCTATATTAGAACGTTTTATTATGCAAGGATTGCCATCGTTGACGCATCTTAAGATGCGAGGAAACATCTCGAGTATCGATTTTGATGCGTTTGTCGACCTTTCTAATTTGTTAGATCTCGATTTAAGTCATTGCCATATTCAACAAATTTCTATGGACGCTTTCTATGGTTTGGAAGAAGTTAGGAGAATTGACTTATCAAATAACGATCTGGAATCTATACCGCCTGGTTTATTCACTGCTCAACAGCAGAAGGAATTGAGAGATATTATACTTACAAAGAACAAATTAACTTCGTTACCTTTAGATTTCTTTAGAAATTTGAGATTGCCAAATAAACAAACACGTGTCCAAAATATAAGATTGGACGATAATCCTTGGGATTGTGCGTGCATTATGATCAGCTGGAATCCTAATCTGGTAATTTATAATTATTAATATCATATTTGATCTTTACTGTTTAAAGCCATTTATAATGACTTAATTGTAAATAGAGAAGAATTAATATATATTAGGAAATATATTAATAAATACTAATATATTAATAATATAAAAATTATTAGCAATAGCTTTGGGCAATACCATTTTTAGGTAAATAGAAATAAGGAAACAGCTCCACGTTGTTCAACGCCAAAACGATTACAAAATTGGGGAGTGTTCTATGCATTGCGCAAAGGTGGTTTACAATGCAGAAGTCCGAGGAAAAGGTACCTTCGAAAATTTTTAAAGACGAGAAACTCTGAAGAGGATAACAATATCAGTTAGCTAATCTCTCTTTTCAAATTGTATGTATCTGTCGATATACACAGAGAATTAATAAAAGAAAAATACATTCAAAATTTTTAGAACCTATTTCCTTTTCTAAAAATATACTTGATCTTTCATTTTAAGGTACATAATAAACGTGAAAAGTAAACTTCTACTTGGTATATGCAATGTAACATTTTTAAACATAATTTTATAAATAATATATATAATTTTTGAGAATTGTATATAACAAAGTATGAATTATACCTCTTAACAATGTAGCACAGGTGCCTTTATAGAGACTTCTGGTGCCTCCTTCTTGATACAATTGTTTAGCGCAATCCAATGGTCCATTATACTTTGGCTTTGTGTCTGCATGCTGTATTTGCAACAGACATTTAATACGTTCACCAGGTGCCATTATGATAGTCGTGAATATGCCGCTAAATGCACCAGCGTAAAATAATTGTAATGGAGTGAGTTTCTCATCTGAGACACTTTGTTGCAGCTTCTTCCCAACGCTGTAGCCAAAGAAACTGATCGCAAATATAGGAGCAACGCCGGATAATGGTGCACCCATGCCTGAACAAATAACACAAAACCCAATTCTAATTAATAATTTCCTTTCAAAAATATGTAAGTCCCTGAGATATAAATAACTCATGAAAGTATTAACTATATATTTATGATAACTATAGATCTGGTTGTGCCACTTAAATACTATTTATACATCATGTTACATAATGTTTTGAAAATTCTAAAATATTAAATTCTAGTCTAGTTTATATAAATTGACACAATTATCAAAATGTCGATGTTTATAGCAATAACTTAAGACTTTATATAAATATCTTTATAATCTCGATATTGAATTAGAAAAAGCTTGACGTGATATTCGTTTAATGTTCAGTACAAATATAAATACCCTTATATAAACCACGTATTCCTTCCTTGGCGATTGTTTTCTTAGCACAGTCCCATGTACCAGTATAAAGAGGCAATTCATTGGGTCCTGGAACTGACATCGTCTGGAGCCGTACCTAAATATATAGAACAATGTCTTACAAAACGCACATGATTCTTGTAGAAGGCAAACTGCAATATTTATATTAGACAGAATGCAGATAAGAAAAAGAGAAGCAATATGTCAATTTTTCACTCAATTTTTAATAAGATGATCAATTAAAATATAACCTTTATGGTATCCAGAGGGTGGCCAGCTATCACAGTGCATATTCCGCCAAATCCACCGCTCAAGAAATATTTAATAGGACTAACGGTATCCGACATGATACCGTTGATGATTATTGTA